TTATTTAGTGACTTTATTGCTACTAATGTATTTTGCCCTAAAGTTCATTTTGTTAAATATCACTTGCTATATCTGCTTTCTTCTGGTAAGTTTTTGCTTCTTAGTGTTCTTTTTACTTTCTGTGTTTTATATTTTCTAGGCGTTTCTTTTTTAAGTAGCATATAGTTGGAGTTTTTGGTTTGAGTTTTAAATCTATCATTAAAATGTGTGTTCTAGGAGCACTTAGGTGACTCATTTCGGTTAAGCATCTGCCTTTGGCTCAAGTCATGATCCCAGCATCCTGGGATTGAGCCCCACGTTGGGCTCCCTGCTCAGCTGGGAGTCGGCTTCTCCCTTTCCTTCTGCCCTGCCCCCAAGTTTGTGTGTGCTCCGTGCATGCTCTCTCTCTTTCTCTCAAATAAACAAATCCTTAAAAAACAAAATACGTCTTCTGCAGAAGCTTCTCAGTCCTTTTACACTTTATGTTTATTGTAATTACTAATATATTTGTATTCACATCTGACATCTTATTTTGAGTTTTCTATTCTGCCCATTTCGTTTCTCTTCTTTCTTATTGATTATATTTTGTCAGCTTTTTCTCTCTACAAATTTGCAGTCTTTTTGAGAATTTAAAAAATTTCATATATTTGGAAAAAATTTTAAAATCTGAGAATTTTTAACATGTATACTTATGAAATTATTAGTATGCTTTACTTCTGTTTATTACCTTCCTGGCTTATATATATATTATCGTTATTATCAGTTTAAGTTCTGCTTCCTTGTTTCTTACTCATAAGACATTATTTTTATTTCTTTAAAATTTCCTTTCCTTTCCTTTCCTTTCCTTTCCTTTCCTTTCCTTTCCTTTCCTTTCCTTTCCTTTCCTTTCCTTTCCTTTCCTTTCCTTTCCTTTCCTTTCCTTCTTTTTCTTTTTCTTTTTCTTTTTCTTTTTCTTTTTCTTTTTCTTTTTCTTTTTCTTTTTCTTTTTCTTTTTCTTTTTCTTTTTCTTTTTCTTTTTCTTTTTCTTTTTCTTTTTCTTTTTCTTTTTCTTTTTCTTTTTCTTTCGATAGTCACAGAGAGAGAGAGAGAGAGGCAGAGCCATAGGCAGAGGGAGAAGAAGCAGGCTCCATGCACCGGGAGCCCGATGTGGGATTCGATCCCGGGTCTCCAGGATTGCGCCCTGGGCCAAAGGCAGGCATCAAACCACTGCGCCACCCAGGGATCCCAAGACATTATTTTTAAAGTTTAGATTTATCAATTCCATCTTGCATTTTAGGAACTTCTGTTTGGGTTAATTTTTCTAAATCTTAATTTCCTTTAGTGAAGTCCTGTTGGTGGCAGACTCTCTCAGGCTTTGTTTGTCTGAATCTACCTTTATTTTGCCTTTGTTTTTAATTTTTTTGTGTAGGATACAATTGGAGATCAACAGATATTTTCTCTTACCATGTTTTAATGGTATTATTCTAGTATCTGTTGCTTATTGTTGTTGAAGTGATCCATTATTACCATTACTCTGATTACAGTTTCAGTAAATTCATCTAGCTTTTTAAAAACAATTCATCTAGATTTAAAAATTATGCTAATTTGGATTTGTTGGGTTTCTTGATTCTGTGGACTGATGTCTTTCATCAGTTCTTGAAAAGTCTCCTAAAATACTGCTTTTATATCATTTTGTTTTTAGAACTCTAGACATTTGTCTGTTTTATGAACTCTTTTAACCTCTTTCATGAATCTATTTCTTTCTCTTTATGTTTAGCACCAAAGAGATTATCCAGAATTATCTTCATGTTCATTAATTATCTCTTCATATAGTCAAATATTTCTGCCATTTCCGTGTGTGTTTGTTTTCCTTTTAGCTTACCCACTGAGAGTGTTTAAGTTGGGGTTTCTGGCATTGGGTGTATTCTCTCATCTAAGGGTGCTACCTTGTATAGGTTATAGAGACCATCTCTTCTTCAACTCTAGATTACTTTTCTCAGTTTTTCCTTTCTGTGCTCAGAATATTTCCTTTAATTTTTATGGGTGCAGACATACATTTAAAATACTTTTGTAGTTTTATCTGTCATTTTTTTAGGTGCTCTTTAATTGGAAGGTTTCTCTGGAACAAAAACAGATTTTATAAGTCTTTTTGTCCTTCTCCCCCAATATTTAACCTATTTCTTTTCTTTATGATTTCATATTTTGCACTGTTTCTGAGAAGGATTAGGTATATTCAGCTTGCTTTCTGTCCTTTATTTTTATGGTTTAGGTATATTTTTTAAAGATTTTATTTATTTATTTGAGAGAGAGAGCACAAGTGGTGAGGAGGAGTAGAGGTAGAGGGACAAGCCAACTCCTTCCTGAGTTAGGGAGCCTGATGTGGAGCTCAGTCCCAGGACTGTGGGATCATGACCTGAGCCGAAGGCAGACCCTTAACTGATTGAGCCACCCAGGCGTTGTATATGGCTTAGTTTTTTGTATATTTTAAAACCAGTCATAAACTTATATTTAATACATACAAAAAAAGATAAAAGGAACAATATGATGAATGTTCTAGTTGCCTCCTTGCTTGCACCATACATCATATTTAATTCTTTAATTGTTTTGGGGGATATGAAGTAAGGTGAGACTAAAGAGAACCCCTCCCCCATGAGTTTACAAATATATACTAGATTTTCAATTTGATAAATTTTGAGAGCTGGATTAGGAATTAATTCCTAGCCTGATTCTATTTTCTTTTTGTTATTTCATCTGAAGGAAAAGGTTTATTCTATAACTTTCAGATGTTTTTGTCCTTCTTTTCTACCTGCTTTCCTCATCTGATAGATTAACGAATGCCTACTGAAACATCCTCTTCAGCTTTTTTTTTTTTAAAGATTTTATTTATCCATGAGACACACACAGAGGGGGGGAGAGAGAGAGAGAGAGAGAGAGAGAGAGAGAGAGACACAGGCAGAGGGAGAAGCAGGCTCTATGCAGGGAGCCTGACATGGGACTCTCCAGGATCACGCCCTGGGCTGAAGGTGGCGCTAAACCACTGAGCCACCCAGGCTGCCCTTCTTCAGCTTTTTAAGTAGTATTTATATAGAACTTATTAACAAATTACTATCTCACCTATTGCTTTATGTTCTTTTGTAAACTAAATCTTTGTGAAATGAACATATTTAAAATATTTTCTGATGGTTTAAAAAGTATTAATAACCATTTCTGTTTTGCTTTTTTCTGTGGTTACCGTGAGGTTTTTTCTTTGACTTGACTCTGGGTTGAAATTGGAAGTAACTTATTCTTGCCTTTTGGCCCTAGATAGTATCCAGGTAGCTCTAAAATTAGCACCATTGTCAGAAGACTGAAGATCTTCTAGATTGTATTTAATTCTTAAGATGCTTGGAGTCTCAGAAAGAAATGGGGTCAGTAATTTTGTCAAAGAGTCTTAACGTCTCCCCCCATCTTCACAAAGAGTGGGTTGGCTTTGGGATGTGTCTGTCTGTCTACTGTGGGTGTCTGATTAAGATTGCAGACCTTTCTCTGCTTGATTTATGTGGATTTGAAAAAAGAGAGTAATAAATGATGGATTTTATCTTCAGGAGTGCTTAAACACTTGGAAGTATACCAGTTTTCTGTGGTGTAATCTCAGAATTATTAATTGCTTTTTGAGTAATGTGGTTTTGTTAAAGACATGATGACTTCTTAAGTATTAATCTCCTACTTGACTGGATTTACTTGAAGGACAAAACAAAAAAAATATAATTTTTTTTAAAAGATTCTATTTATTCATGAGAGATACAGAGAGAGGCAGAGACAGGCAGAGAGAGAAGCAGGCTCATCGCAGCAAGCCCGATGTGGGACTCAATCCCAGGACCCCAGGATCACACCCTGAGCCAAAGGGAGATGCTCAACTGCTGAGCCACCCAGGTGTCCCTATAATTATTTTTTAAAATGTCAGTTTTGTGATCTTTTTCAAGCTCTAATTAGCATAGCTAAGAGTAGATGCAAGTCACCCTGTGTCAAAGTAATACAATGTCAAAGTGACTACTAATTATATTGTATATATTTTTATGAAAATCACAGGTAATTTTCCATGCCTTTTTTTTTTTTTTTTTTTTACCATTTTGGTAACATGTTCTAAACTGAGAATATAAGCTTTTAAAGGATATTTACTATATTCATTTGTTCATATCCTATAAGTAATATGAGACTCTGGTGTCTGTAACATATTCAGTGAATAAGTAAACTTAAACCTTCATTGAGGGTTGCCACTGAATATTTCTGTAGGTAAAAAATTGGATACTAAAAGCTTGAAAATTTGTAATAGAGATTTGAAAATCTATTTTCATCCTTACATATCTTTGGATATTTATACTTAGTACAACTTAAGCAGTAACTGTGAAGTCTAAAAGTCCCATTTCTCAAATTATAAAACTTTTGAGGGAAATATGGAAAACTGTTGTGTGGAAAGTAATTTATTTGGTTCTTTGTTCCTTCTTTGATCTTCCATAGATTTAAGAGCTAATTATTAACTAATATTTAGGGCTAACTGGTTAGTGAGTTAAATATATTAACACCACTGTAAAAGAACAGAGTAGTATGGATAAACAGATGCTTCAGAAACTCAGATTCCTCTTCACTGGTTCTAAACTCTAAATGAATTAGAATTCTTTGAGGAGCTTTTATTTCTTTATTTCTATTTCTATTATTTATTTCTATATATTTATATAATAAAAAATATTTATTTTTTAAAAATTTATTAAAAATATTTATTTTGTTGTCCACCTGTTTAATGTGGACACTCAAGGCCTGAGCAGAGTGGACGCCCTGGGATTGGGCAGGCAGGCAAGGTGGGTGGTTCACAGGCTCACACCTGACCCTAAGAGAAGATGCCAGGTGGTGAGGGCTGGTCCAAGGGAGTACCAGAAAAGTGGCCCAGGCAGGCAGACCCACCAGAGGACCTGGAAGCCAGCCCTTAAGAAGGTATCTAAGCCAGGTGGTGAGTGTCCAGGCCAGAGTCTAGCCCAGGGAGGCAGGATTGGGGTGGTTGGTGGCTCTCAGAGCCAAGGGACTGGTATTGCTGGGACCTTGCTAAGCTACTGCTGAAACTTAAGGCATGTCTGCCAAGTAGCTCCTGGAGGCAGGCATGGAGGTGGTCATTCTCCAGTTGGTCCAGACAGGAGTTGATCTGGTCTAACATGGAGTTGATGGCAGCATATTCTGCATATTCTGAAACAGTTCTCATTGTTTCATTGTTTATGGTGACAAGTCATCCTTGCCTTTTGCACCTGCCTCCACTAGTATGCCCGGGTCCCTGTTGGGGCCCGACATTGTAGGTTTGGATGTCACGGGGACCTCAATATGATGGAACGTGCCAACAGCTAGTGCTTAGTTGGAAGGTCGAGGAACTTTTAGATAATGTAGATGCATGGGTCCCAACTCAGATTATTTTAATCAGAATCTCTGATGGAAGAGCCCAAGTTCCTGATATTTTCAAGAGTTTCTGAAGTCATTGCTAAATGCTGCCAGAATTAAAAATTGGCGGCGACATCAAGATCATCACCACTAGTAGTATTATTACAGGTGTGTTTGTGTATGGACTGGGGAGCACAGCCCAAGAAACATGGTGCTAAGAAAAACTTGTATTAGTCCATTCAGGCTTCTATAATGAAATACTATTACTGGTGGTTTATAAACAACAAAGATTTCTTTCTCACAGTTCTGGAGGTTGGAAAACCCAAGATCAAGGTGTTGGCAGATTTGGTGTCTGTTGAGGGCCTGCTTCCTACCTTGTTGTTTTTCACTGAAACTTCACAAGGTAGAAAGGGACAGCGAACTTTCCTGGGCCTTTTTAGTAAGGGCAGTCATCCTATTCCAGATGGTTCTATTCTTATGACTTAATCACTCCAGAATCCCTAATCCCCGGAATTCCTAATACCATCACATTGGGAGTTGAGATTTCAGCATATGCATTTTGGGGGGAACAGACTTTTAGACCATTGCTTGTTAATTATATTTACAATTCTAGTTTCTGAATATTCAAGGACTAGTTATGTCGTGGTCATTATATATTGATGATTATTGGGTTTTGAAGTTAGAAAACTGAATAAATCAGACAGATTAGTTGAGTTTTCTTTCTTTTACACCTCATTGTTTCATTGTTTATGGTGACAAGTACCAAATTTTCATGTTAAGTTGGCTTTTCTGTCTGTCATAGATTGTTCTCTTTATATCAGTTTTCATCAAGATAATGTTTTAAAGAAGTATATAGATGGAAGGATCAGGATGTAATTTGCCTGATAGTTCTCTGCCAGTCATTCTCATGAATGTTGACATTGGCCCTTATGAGAGGAGTCCCAGTAGATTGAGGAAAGAGCTGTGAAACTTTTGAAACATACCATTTGTAAGATGTTTGGATGAGAGGAGTTCTAACATATGAGGCTTTGTTGGGAGAAGAGTTGAAGTGACTGTCTAAACTTTAAAGCGATGCTTTTGGGTGGTGTTGGATCTAAAAGTGCATGTTAGTGTTCATAGTTTTAAGTAATAAGAAATCTCTGTTATTTAAACAGAAAGAGTATTTTTTTAATACAGTGTTTTATTTTTTAAAGATTTGTTTATTTATTCATGAGAGACACAGAGAGAGAGGCAGAGACATAAGCAGAGGGAGAAGCAGCTTCCCTGCAGGGAGCCCAATGTGGGACTCTATCCTAGGGCCCCAGGGTCACGACCTGAGCCAAAGGCAGACACTCAACCAGTGAGCCACCCAGGTGCCCCAAAAAAGTATTTTTGAAGAGGTTATTGGGTTACTCATAAAATTTCTTAAATTGTAGAAGAACCAGGCTTGGAATCTGTAGCCATGAACAGTGTTAAAAATCATACCACAGGCCTGGTCCAGTGATGGCACCACTGTTAGGTGGCATATTTACTACTGTTTGTGCTCTCTCACTGACATGAGACAACAGATATTCCTTTTTTTTTTTTTTCTTAAAGATTTTTATTCACGAGAGGCAGAGAGAGAGAGAGGCAGATAGATACAGGCAGAGGGAGAAGCAGGCTCCATGCAGGGAGCCCGATGTGGGACTGGATCCCGGGACTCCAGGATCATGCCCTGGGCCAAAGTCAGGCGCTAAACCGCTGAGCCACCCAGGGATTCCGAGACAACAGACACTCCTTTTTTTTTTTTTTTTTTTGACAACAAACACTCCTAAAGTTGCTTCTAGTGCTTCCTTGCAAAACTGGATTAAAGAAGGATGAATTAATTCAAACTGAATTTAATTAGCCTTTGCTATTGCCCTCAACCTTACCAGCATGGATTGCTTGTAGTCCTTGCTGCTGCTGCTGTTGCTTCTTTCTCTTCTGCCTCCACTTTCTCTTTTTCTTGGTTTGTCTGAGAGGCAAAACCCAAGTCTTATGCCCCTGTCCCAATTTCAGGGGAGATTTAGAAAGTAAATATTTGGTGCTTTCTGTTTCTTTAGTTTCAGGAAGTGCCTCTGCCTCATGAAGTAGAGGCTTCTTTAAACATAGGAAGGTAGATTAGGTACTAGGTGGCCTCCTAAAATGCCAGGTACCCATGGCAGACATTTTGTGAGTGCATAATCATATGATCTGTGGATGTCTTTGCCATGATTTGCATATTGTTTCTTTTTTTTTTAAGATTTATTTTATTTATGATAGACATAGAGAGAGAGAGAGAGAGAGAGAGGCAGAGACACAGGAGGAGGGAGAAGGAGGCCCCATGCTGGGAGCCCAACGTGGAACTCAATCCCGGGACTCCAGGACTGCGCCCTGGGCCAAAGGCTAAACCGCTGAGCCACCCAGGGATCCCCTGTATATTGTTTCTATTTTCCCCCCTTTTTAGTGTTGAAAAGAGTGAATGAGGTATGATGGTAGATATAAAAGAAATAGCAGAACTATAAACTTTGTAACTGGAATGGGCCCGAGGAAAAATCTAAGCCAATCTAAAAAAGAAAATACTAATTGTAAGAATTAATGTTCTTTAGGTAGATGTCATTCTCTGAGAAACCATCTTTACTCCTGATAATGAAACTGATTTCTACTCCCGTTAGTCCTCATAAGAAAAAGCTGCTATATAATGTAATGAGCAACACCCTTGTAATGCCCTCAGTAATGATTTCTTTGGCATTTGTCCCTGCTGTATCAGGACAAAGTGCAATTTAGTAAATGCAGGTAAGATGAGCTTGAAAGGTGAATTGAGGGAATATTCAAGGGTGAGGGAAGGATTTTCCTCAAAAACTGATTTATAGACTCCTGTAATATATCAGGCAGTAATTAAAGGCATGGCTGAAATAATTTTATCTTGAAAAAATAAATTCTCTCCACCAGACCATTAAAAAAAGGCAGTGAACCTGTCTATGTATAGCTTTTAGCTTTGGGTGGTGGGATATCCTAGTATATCCTCAGAGGTGACCTAATAGCAAAACGTGTATAGAATAGACTAATTATGTAGATTTATTAGGTATAAACCAGGTTTAAATTTAGGGAAATATTGTTGCAGTAAAGCTTTCTAAGTATTGCTATAGAAATCTGTACAGTGGGGAGCAAAGGAGAGAGTAGTCCATTCCATTTGGGGAGTTATTTCAGGTTGATGTTTTCTAGCTAAGCAGTTGTTTTCCAGGGGAGGGAGACAAGGTATGGAAATGGGTAATAGCTTTTAGTAAGTAGGAACACTATGTGCCAGACTCTCGTGCCATTATACATTCAAGGAATAGAAAACAGCTTGTAACTGGAGTATAGTAGAAGAATAATGATATTCATTAAAATAAAATTCTGCCTTTATTTTTTAAGGATATACTCTGTAATAATAACAGAATGGCCCAAGAGCAGGTAAGTGCAGACCATTATTAAGCTTTTGAATGCTGACTGTAAATAAACTTGGCATTATATTAGATTGTTTTAGGATAGAGGATACAATAATATATAAAACAGGAACCTGGAATACAGAGGGATGGGAAATGTATAAACAGACTTAGTAATCTATGTGTTTGAAATGTACAGAGAAGAGTGTGCTTGAGAGAGTCATGAAATGCTTCAAGTTACGGTGACATCTGAACTCTTCTGAAGAATCAGGATATTTATCAGAGTATAGGAGGAGGAGAGAGACATTCTAGACAGTTAATAAATCATCTTTATTATACTTTGAGGAGTTCAAAATGCATCACCTATGATTTGTTCAGAAAGAGAATTGTAGATAACAGCAATTTGGGAAAGTGCATAACTTGGAGATATTGGGGGTTCCAGACCACAGCAATAAAGTGAGTATCATAATGAAGTGAGTCAAGTGAACTTTTTGTTTTCCCAGTGCATATAAGGTTAATATTTACATTATCCTGTAGTCTATTAAGTGTGCAGTAGTGTTATGTTTAAACCAACCGTGTATATACCTTAATTTAAAAAATACTTTATTGCTAAAAAATGCTAACCATCATTTGAACTTTGAGTCAGTCATAATCACTGATCATAGATCACCATAACAAATATAATAATGATGGGAAGTTGAAATACTGGGAGAATTGCTAAAATGTGACAAACATGAAATGAGCAGATGCTGTTGGAAAATGGTTCCAATAGATGTTCTTGATGCAGTGTTGTCACAAACCTTCAGTTTGTAAAAGGCATAGTATCCACAAAATGCGATCTAACACAGTATGCTTGTACTATAGCTAGCGTTTTCTTTGATAATAGTAGGGAGTCAAATTAATTTAGTATGTTACTTATTCCCAGGCTTATAAGCTTTATCTTTTAGTAGTGGTATACTATACCAGTGTTATTTCTGAATTAAATATATTCTCTGTATTAGATCCAGCAGCTTTTAAAAATTAGTCTTAGGGTGGGCGTTTAAGGATCATTCTTAGCAGTCTAACTGTCTCCAGGATTGCTAGTTTATACATGTAGAATTCCATTATGATGGATATTGTCACAGCAAAGATTCTATTTAATATAGCCATCTCCATGTTCTTCTTGTCCCGCAATAGTAGAATCTTTTTCATCTGGTTACTGTACATTTTCTTTAAAAACAAATCCACTAAAATGCTTTCGTTATCTTATTAATCATCACTTATTACTTCAAATATAATACCAACACAAATAAATAGAGAGGAAGCATGGAATTATACCAGACTTCTTCACAGTTCTTTTTTTCTTCGTAGTTCTATCAGGAAGCAGATACCTTGAATTCTCCAACCTCCTCTTCACTTAAAAGCCCAGTATCCTAACCAAAGTAAGATGGAACTGGTTCAGGGATAGGAAGAGGAAGAATGTATGAATTTTGCTTGCTATCTTTTCTTTTCACTTTCATTAAAGTCAGAATTTTT